CCCCAAAACCCCAAAACCCCAAAACCCCAAAACCCCAAAACCCCAAAACCCCAAAACCCCAAAACCCCGTAATGCATGGGTGGGGTTGGATTAGTAATAAATATATTTTTGGGCTTGATGGAAGAGTAAGTTAGGAGAGCATCTTGGAGGGTCTGTGGTTGATGAGATAGATCATTCTTGTTGGCTTGTGATGGATAGTAGGATGGATTTTGAAGTGTCTAATGGTTTGATATAGATTTCTAAAGAGAATTGCAAGGTTTACACATTCTTTAGGAATGATTATACTCCTTATCCTAACGATCTCCGGTGTTGTTTTAGGATTTCAAACAAGTAAGCATAACTTTAATAGGTCAATGAGAGTTTATAGACACATAAGCACAAAGTTCTTTGCTTCTTTATTTGAAGTTTAAATTTCTTTTATTGAAAGATAATTTTCTTTTCTCTTCTGTTAAAGAAAATGTATCCAATGATGTTTGACTCCTCTCATATAGATTTTCTATCCCCTCAAAAATTGAGTATGGAAGCATTCATTGTTACAAAAGCATCAGTACTCATTCCAGAACTCAAATATCAAAGTCTCTCCGTAAGTTCCTTCAGATGAACATTCTTTTCTCTAAGATACTCCTTCTTCCCTATTTATTTCGAAATTGAGGCTAAAGTTCAAATGCTAATAATCTATCTACAGAGCACAATTTTCCAGGAAGATATGTCTGAATCTTTGCCCAGACTTCCTTGTAACCTCTTTGAGAGCCATTTCCTGATGCTAGGGTCTTCATCGGAACAAAACTCAAGCATGGGTTTTGAAGCCGAGGCATTCATCAATATCGAATGCACATCTAATACCACATCACCAGAAGTTACACAGCAAAACAGTTCGTCAGACCTTGTCAGGAAAAGCTTAGATGGAAAAGAAAGTTTTGATGAGTCACAAATGATGCTGACGAGTGGTTACAAATTTACTATGTATTACTCGGAAGCCACAGCATCCCTTCAGGATCCTGATGAGATTACTCTTAAAGGTAAGAGCTCAATTTACTTGATCCTGTTAAAATTGGAAACAACTTTTGAAATTTCTCAAAAATCTTATCTTTCCCGGATACAGGAGATTCTTCAACCAAAAATGTTTATAGTCTGACTCAAAATATAGAAGATAGAGACAAAGAAAAGACAGTAGGAATTTTGAGCACACAACAACTAAGGTTAATCATCAAAGCTTTCGGACCACAGCTTGAGCAACAAAATGAAGAGAACCCAAAATTTCCCCAGTTTGAAATGAGCTTAACACCACTTCAAAATAATGGATATGAGATAAAATTAGGCAATGACGTAATTTTTGAAAAATCCTCTTTAAAGGATGAAAAGGCTTCAATAAGTGCCCTCAAAGATCTAAATGACCAATACGATCTGCCTCCTTACTCACATCTTTCCCAGACAGAGTCTCCTCATTTCAATCAGACTAGCTTGGGAAAATCTATTAGCCCTTTGGTTTCAGCTGAGATCATAGCTCAGGATTCATTATTTACAGTCAAAACTCTCAAAATTTTGGATGAAGACCTGAGATCAAAGCCAGTTTTAGATGGACTATTTTCGAATGCCACTTCTATATCAGAATTATCAGATATCTCCCTTTCTTCTACCCCATTTATGCAACGGTCGGATAATTCTTTGATAAAGGGGAATTCTCTGCTAAATTTTATCCAAGAGAAGCTTAAAAAATCACAAAATAAGGCCTTCATCAGTGAAGGGTTAGAAGGAAAGTTTGAAACTTACGATTCAGAAACCACCAAGAGGTAAATCCTCCTTAAATAACATTTCTCCAGAGTCTAACTCTTTCTTTCTAGACAACTCAACGAGCAGCCTATTTGAGGAGACGGATTCAGACAGTCTCCTGAAGCTTGAGACGACGGTAACCAGATCGATGGAGATGGATGCTCCTCTGACTGTCTCTCAATTGAGTCTAATTGGAGCTGCATCTCTACTGAAGAAGGAAAACCTGATGTCTGACTGATTAGATATAAGAAATCAAAGGCTTCTCCAAGTGAGAAATGGATTTCTGACCTGACTCTGATTGGAGTTATATCATCTGTCATTATCAACATGGCAGCATGAATTATAAATCATCAAGATCCCAGAAAAATATTTTCCTCTGTTAATCAAATCCAGTTGATGCTGATACTGCTTTTGTTTCCATTCGATCTCCCTCCAAGAGTTGTGGCCTATCTGAAGTCTCTAAAGGGATTTCTTTTTCTTTTCGACTTCAAATGATCTTTTCCAAATTTTCATGAGTTATTCAAATCTTTCGATTATGAACAGTCGAACTCCCAACTCAAAATGCTTGGGTTAAGCTCTGGAAGTGCTTTAGTAAACTTAAAGATGGTGATTCTAATCCTTGCTGGTTTGGTATCTTTCGCGATCATGTTGATCCCAAGATATCTTCAATCTAAGATCTCAAAGGAACCTAACAGAATTCATAAGGTTGTTCTTGGCTTCACTAAACTATTGGTTCATTCCTTAATTCCAGTTCTGATCTTTGAGATTTTTATGGTTATGTGCTTGTCCTCTCTATCAGAAATTACAGCATGGAGCCTAACAGAGCATAAAAATTCGCTCTCTCTTGTAGCTAGCTCATTAATATACCTCTTTGTTATCGGAACCACTTCCACAGTTTTAATCATTACAGTTGCTACCTGGATGGAAAAAATAAAATATTTTACTCAAAACTATTTCAATGCTGTCAGATCTTCAAATTTTGGCCAATTTTATTACTTTTCCTTCCTTACAAGAAGGTTCTGCCTCTGATTGTTGGTCACAAGTAAGAGCTTATTATCTAAATTTATAGTCTTTCCAAGGAAGAATGTCTTGGTGTTCATATTGGCCTTCATTTTGATGAATTACATTCAGAATTTATACATCTTGACTAATAATCCATTTAAATCTAAGTTGAGAAATCTACAAGAACTGATAAATGAGATTTTCTACTTGATCTTTGGAGTTGTAATCCTAATTGCAAGTCAGAGAGGCAAGTGGAGCACTTTAAGTGAAGAGGTCTTGCTTTCCTTACTTATTGGAAACAATCTTCTAAATTTTGCCATTTCAATCATCTCGTTAGGTAAGAAAATTAAATATTTTTGAAAATTTTTACCTCTTGTTTTAGCTACAGCAATTATGTGCCGATTCTGATCGATAGGAGGCCAATTGAGAGTACCTGAAATATCCCCGAGAATTATTGAACAGTAAGCTCACCCAAACTTTTCTTGCTGTTAAACTAATCATTTTAAATAGACCCCACTTCCCACCAGTCAAGAGGCATCTGAGCATCAAACTTGAGCCCATTCAAGATTTTGAATATTGTTCTTTTCAACATATAAATAGCAAAAATATTAACACACATGAGAAGACACAAAATACACAGGAGCCCACTTCTAAGGCTCCTCAGAGTCCGAAGCCAATGGGTGATAACATAGTTTAAACTTTTATATATTTTTGAAATATTTGAGATAAATAGTGCTAAATTCTCATTGGAAGTTCTACTTTAAGATCCCTATTCAATCTTGGCTGTTTCACCTGGGGTTTTGGGGTTTTGGGGTTTTGGGG